GGGGGGGGGGGGGGGGGGGGGGGGGGGGGGGGGGGGGGGGGGGGGGGGGGGGGGGGGGGGGGGGGGGGGGGGGGGGGGGGGGGGGGGGGGGGGGGGGGTTGATGCTGAGTTGGTATATCGTCTCGAATTTCTTGTACTTCATTTATCTTCGGTTTGCGTAATTTTGGTAGTGATATTTTACGTTTTTTTTTTTTCGAATTAAAAAAGACTTCGGGATAGACTTTTTGCTTGTATTATACAGTTTCGGAGTGGCAGTCATTTACGTGTCGCATGTAAAATTTCTGTCTCTCGTGATATTTTATGTCAGTCAAAATTTTAAGGTTGATAAAAATAGGGTTGGTACTGGATAACAAAAATCTGACGCTTGTCTCTCCAAAGAAGCTCTAGGTTTATATATATATATATCTCAAGCCCTTTAATGTTATCAGTCACTAGCCGCCCTAAAAACGTGGGAAAAATAACATGACGGCGTAGCACGGGTCATATATCTACCCCATACAATTTTATGGAATGTTGCATTTACACGCAGGCTGGTCGAGAATCGGGAGAGGGTTGATCGTCATTGCAATAACCATACAAAATTGGTGGGTTGTGTAAAATTCAAATTTTTCTGATTCCTTAAAAAAATGCCGTACAAGATACTTCCAAAAATGTAAGATGAAAAAAAAATTAAAGAAACTTTAAATACTTTTCAATTTTGACTTTCGGCATGTATGTATGTATCACGGTTTCATTGGCTTCCGGCTTTCAGTCTAGAGCCACGCGGGAAATCCTTCGGGACTTCCTGTTACGCTGCTAGAACGGAGCGAGAGGAAAAGAGCCGGAAACATTAAGGATCTTACTGACGGCGTAAAAGGGAGGAGCGAGAAAAAAGAGGGGAAAAAAGAAATAAGCACAAATCCAGGTAGCTTCTCGGTAGATAAAAAAAATTGCGGATCGTGAAATGCATTAACCTTCTTAAAGAAATTCTCATAATCCTCGGCAATCTTCTCAGAGTCCTTCCTCCACTTGTTCACGGAGTTGACGAAGCAAACTTCAAGACGGGATCCTTGCGGCTCCCAGAGGAGGAACCCGTAAAAGACACTCCTGAGGTATTTCCAGGAGCGTTTACGCGACATGTTGATATACCTCAGGACTGTCCCAGGTCGGACTCCGTAGTGGCTCACACGATAATATTATATTACGCGATATATTAAGCTCGGTGCACACCTTCTCATAAATAAGCATAAACACAATTGCATTGAAATTAATGAAAATAATCGGACACAAGATTATCCCTTTAACCCAGAAATGGGTTACGTTATATTGTTCTCAATTTTGAAAAGCATTGAATTAGGCTGTCCCAGGCACTCAACGCGTCCACCCCCGAGTTAATTAATGAAAAGAAAATTATAAAAAAAAAATTTTTATCTCATACCAACCAACTTCCGTTTGTTCCAGTAATTATTTTTTTTATTTTTAAGTATTTTCATCTCATTTTGCACTCGCAACTCAAACACGCGCTTACAGGTGGAATTATGAAAATACTCCGAGTGCAAAGTGTTAATTACGGTGTGTTATATATATATATATATATATATATATATATTTTCAGGATTTTACACAGTTCGGGGGTACATAGGAGGAAAGGTAGGGTACGCTAATTGAATTATACATCGAGAGTGACCCCCACGTGTATTGTCATAGAGTCTCTCTCGAGGACGTCGAGGTCAGAGGTCACACGAGAAAGAGAGAAGATAAGGATCGCCTAATCGAAAGGAAAATACACGAATATATGTATGGACAAAGTGAAAACGTGTCCTCGTATGGTTATGTGACGTAATGGCGAACCCTGTGCTTTTCATCCTCCGAAACAGCAAATAGCACTTTAGGTTATAGTGTATATACAGTACATTAAAGTGGTGACGTAAGATAACGTAGAATTTTCATTGAAATGAAAATAGCCGTGAAACGTCAAAGTATTTGTATTACATAAAATTATCAATAATGATTGGAAAGAGTTAGGAATTTTTGTTAATTCAAAATTTATAGTAAAAAAGTCATATACAAAAAAAAAGTAATAAGCGAAGTTCGAAAATTACCCCGTGTTAATATTTACGGCACAGTAGCCATTCGGTATATACGTTAAATCCATTGGACAAGTAAATAACAATTTTATGCTTGACTTTACGACTTCCGTAGTGAAACTAACCTGAGCTTTCCCGAGATCTCTTGGACGAATAACAAGTCTGATGCAACTGCAAAAATATAAATGCAGTTCTCCATTGAGTCCAGCCGTGTCTGCCTGATGCAACCGCAACGATCGTTTGATTTACGAAACTAAGTTTCGGATAATCGTTCGACCGTCAATGCGCTTTCAAATTATTTCGAGCAACTTCGAACTGCTATTTTTTGTATACCTTGACTATTACTCGCTACGTCAGAGTATCGAGATCGGCAAATAATGAATGAAAAAAAAATGTAATGATGTCAGGCAACTCGAAAAAATGTTAAAAAAACGATAATTATCTGGCCAAGGTTATTTTTCGTTATCGCCATTTTTATTTTTGTAACCCCCTTGCACCCTTTACTCCTCTCCTCGGACTCGACCATAGAAAAATATTCTTTATCCATCTGTTCGCATTACTTGAATGAAATTGTCCGGCTTTTATATGGATCACGGGAACACGCACTGGGAATATTGAAACTTCCTGTCGTTTTACGAAATATATACTTTATGGGGATACGTGACGATCTTTATCTATCGATTGTACATATATATTTTATATGTATATTATACATGACCGGACGTGAATTTAAATTTTATATGTACGTGTCAAACTTTTTATTCAGAGGGTAGTCAGAGCTGTTCAGATTAAATGTACCAAGTGAAGTTAGCACGTCTGTTTGACTTTTGTGGAGCCAACTTCAGTCGGCTGTTTTTCGTTATGTATTATCATTCTTATTAATATTCTCATTTAAAATCCTGTCGACGTAACGCGAAACCAGATGCTTCCCTCTTCTCCATTATTTATATCTTTTTTGATATCTCATATTTCTTTAGCCATTCCTGCATTTTTCTTTTGACTTGACACCTCGTTTTCTAAAGCTCAAATACCGCGTGTTGGCAATATTAACGAAGTGGTTGAACAGTGTAAATGCCATTATTTATTTATTTCAATTATTGATTTCTAAGAGACGGAAAAAGCCTTACGAGATTAGAAATGAAAATATGGAAAATACAAATTTGCTTAGACTTTTTTTACATTCCTATTTGCGATATTTGTGAAAATGAAAAAAAAATTATGTTCAAAAATTTCTCTTAAAAGTTTTTACAATCGGGTTTTGCGTGAACCCATAAAATTTTATCGATTGAAAGTTTCAATCGCCATGGCGACGGATGGTTTCGTACTTTCGCGTAAATGCTGTAAAATAACAAAGATCAAAAATGTTTTTTTTTTTTAATTATAATCTATACGTGAAACAATAAAATAACATACAGACTACGAAATTTACGTAACAAACGAAAAAAAAAAAAAATGATCGTATTTATACAAGATTTTCTCATATGATTTTCACTACTGATATCGAAATCCTAACGAAATAGTCCAATCTGCCAGAGGTCAAGCATGAAAAATCAAGCAATTCTCTCAGCCTGGATTTTCCACATGATGGAAAACACAACCGAAGCACATCTGCTGATCGTAGCGAATCAGATACGTGCTTGCGTGATATATAGCCGCTTGCAAAGGCCGGCTTTATCATTTTTTCTTCCTGTCTAATTTAGTCACTGGGTATATATAGCCGCTATGGAATCTCCGATTTTTCCAAATAATAACGATCCTCGATAATCCTCATTGAAAACGAGTCAATCGATTCACTTGTAATCAGTTTATTATTTCCCCCAAA